TTAGGGTTTTCCCCTGGATTAAGTATGCCCAGCGTATGTATGCGTACATCCAGCATATGTCGGGATCACCTTTTAATTGAATTAAAATAGATTAAGTCATTAACTTCATACCTGGCGACTTGGGTGCTACAACTCAAGTACAGATCCTCTGCTTCCTGTAGTACGGGCCCATACTACCTTCCACATGTGTCCGTACTTTCCTAATGGATCTCCCCGAGTCCTCCAGTTCACTCCCTTATCAAAACAACAATCCTCAATAAGACAAGGTTCTCGATACCAAATCACCCCTTAGGTTTTCATAGGGAAACCGCCACACCACTCTCCACCATCAGCTGTAGAAGGAACTCCCCCTAACACCCTCTAACTAGCTCATGAATACAATTACATATCACCGATACTAGATCATTCTTCAAATGAAAGGTCTCACACTACAACGGTTGGACTCAAACTAGAGATGCACAATAGGGTTAAAACCTAACCTTCTAAAATTATCTAGTCTCAATAATATGTAACTTAACATATTCACTTACTAGTTAACAGATGTTAATGGGAACTCCTAAAATAAACAAAGCAGTTAGCATTCGAGCATCGAATAATCAGAATCAAGCATAACCTGAACATCCCATCCTATCACTAACTAATTAGTACTAGCATGCAAGTCTATAAGCTCATACAGTAGGCACATAAACACATATCTCCTAGCATTCTATCATACAATTGTGAGCAGATCCTTATCCCTAATCTAGCATGTGATTCACAGATTCACAAATCAAAGCATAACACAAAACATGTGTGGGTATTTTGGGAAAACTTACTTGAGCTCGGCCGATTGCATACACCACACCCCTTCCTTTTATTAGAAAATTTTTATTTATAAAATATTTCTTTGTATGAAAAATATGCCAAACCCGCATTTTGAGTTCACATATACCCGAGAGTATGCATGAATCCCTCAAACCAAGGCTCTGATACCAACTTGTAATGTCCCAAAATTTAAGACCAAAAATTTCATTTTCATAATAAGAAAACCATCAACTAAAACGTGTTCATAATACTATAAAGGAAAATCAGATTAGGGCAGTCAATCATCTCAATACATCAGATTCAAATAAAACGGAAATCATGGTGAGTACGATGCGATCAACCCGAACTCTTCCCCTTCTATTCGGAAGTGCCTGAAACATAAACTAAAAACAAAAGCACAAAGCTTAGTGAGTTCCCCAAAATACCGCATACAATACATATCTGCCAGCTCAAGGCTGTGCCAGGTCTATTTGACCCCCGAGTCTATTTCAACTCATGCGTCGGCCCAAAGCCGACCAGGTCTATTTCACCTTCGAGTCTATTTCAACTCATATGTCAGTATAAGGTTGTATCGGGTCTATTTCACCCCACATACATATAGCAAATAGACAAACAGACATATAACACATACAACATGAGCCACAAAGACTACAAGCACATAACATATCCTAGTATCTTACAGTATTGTGAGCAAACTCACCGCAGTCTGTTGTCAGTCAAACAAATGATCAGGCTGTTGAATCAAAAAATCCCCATGCTAATCAATCAAACAAAACCCTAATTAATAATTATGCCATAAACCATAACTGGGAATCTAGTTATTTGTCCAACACCCAGGGTAAAAGACCATTTTACCCTTTCCTCACTTGGCCCAATAACCGAGGCCCAACTCAATGGCACCAAAAGCCCAATATGGCCCAAATTCCTAAATGATACCCAAATCCCATTATGGGCCTAAATCCAAGAAGGACCAAAGCCTAACAATGGCCCATAGTCAGAAAGACTAGTGGCCCAACAAGGCCGAAAACCCTAATAGTCAAAATATGGCCCAAACCACAAAAGTCAACGAAAGTCAACAGCTGCTGAGTACGCCCAACATACTCATACTTACTCCCGGCGTACACTACCTTTGGCTAGTATGCGTTGCGTACGAGGTTGCTACACCCAACGTACTCTACAACAACCCAATCTCACCATTAAATGCTTAATTGGTTAAGTTATTAAGTTCACTTCTCAAATCTGATCCTAAATGATGTCTTAACACGTAAAGTTGGTAACTTTACTCCTTTTCATGTCTTAATGGGATCTAATACTTGTTTTTGGCCAATAAAACCCATAATAAGAGCCCTAACTCATGCATGGTCCAATATAACACATCAATATTGCCTTTTTATGCACAAGGAACCTAAAAAATGCTAAGATCTACCATCCCTAGCTTCTGGACTATCTCATACTCTCAACATGAGTTAAGGACCATAAAATGCACAAAAGCAAGCCCTAATTAGATCTATCATAATGAACCATCAAGTTAAGAGCTTTATACCTCGAAAAGCTTTCCAAGTTGGTGATGATTCTGGATCCACAAGCTCCAACCACACCAATGCAACTTCCAAGAGCTCTTCTTCCTTCGAGATCACCAAAAACACTCTCAAAGATCACTTCCAAGCTCAAAACACTCAAATGACAATTATGGTTTCGTTCTCAGGGTTTGGAGAGGAGGAGGCTGGTCATAAGAAGGTCCAAGAGAAACTTAAGGTGTTTAAATAAAGCTTAAACCCTAAAAATTAGGATTTGTCCCAGATGATCGTATGCCCAACATACGTGGATGCCTCCGCGACAAAGTTTTCGACCCAGTACGCCCAACGTACTGGCCAGGGACCAGAATGCAAGAATTTTTAAGTTACGGGCAAAAGGGAAAAAAATTCCTGAAACACAAATGTTACAAAATAGGGGTGTTTGGGATTACTAATTGAGAAATACAAATATAACCGTTTTTGTTAATTATTTTGCAAAAAAATTGCTAAAAAAGGGTTTTAAAAAAATAGCCACTAAAACCCGTATGCGACAACCTCATCCGCGGTTTCGTCTAGTCGGCTTTGATTTCACGCTTTTAGGGGAGAACATGTGTTGGTTTCATCATACATGTTGCAATTTCGTGGCCCATATTCTATTTCGCGGCCTATTAGCCCATATTTTTAAGCCCTAAAAAATTTTGTAGCTCATTTTTTACATTAAAACTCTTGAATTCTCTCTCTGATGATTGAATAACGAAACAATGTTTTAAGTGATGTTTTTTTTTGCTTTTTATGATGTACGCTCTTATTTGTACCGGTTAAGTGTATGTTTTTACTGTTTTTCTCGAACATCAGAAAAGCAATATAATATGAAGAACGAAACCAAATATGGTATTGCCATCTGTGATGGTACAAGTCTATAATGCACATATTCTACATTATAAGACTTGTTCCACCGCATATGGTAATGCCATCATCAGTTTCATTTTTCATATTATCCGATTTTTTCGATTGTTTGCTGTTATGTGTTATCCAATGAACATGTACTAGTAGCTTGTATGATTTTAGGCTAAAATATTGTAGTCAAACTTACATTGAATTAAAAAAAATTAGAAAAAAAACAGGTGACGAAACCAAAGTCGAGATGAGAGGAAGCGTAGAGGGCCACATGCCATCTGCGATTTCGTCATCTTAGAAATGAAAATAAAATAAAAATTAAAGAGTTGGCTGAAATCGAAGACAATCCCACGAAACCACAACATAACACACGAAACTGGAGCTGAGTAAACGAAACTGTAGATGAGCCTCCCCCATGTATGGTTTGTGCGACTTTTATGAAAACTCATAATTTTTGCTATTTTATAAAGGGATAATGACTTAAAAGGGTAATATATTTTTCGATTTGTACACATTTGGTCAATGAGTTTTTTTTCGTCCATATTTACCCCTTCAACTTGTTAAATTGTACACATTCAGTCCTTATGATCGTTTACTTTAGGTTAGCCGAGAAAAATGACATAATAGGGTAATATATTTCTCATTTTGTACACATTTAATCCTTAATAATTTTGTATATATTTAGTCCTTAATATTATTTTTTTCAAAATAAGTCCTTTTGTTTTTATACTCATTCAATACTTATGAATGATTTATTTAGGTTTTTCTCATGACATCTTACATGAGACAATCATTTATGAGGTGTTTGAGGTTGTTGATGCTTATGTCCATTGCGATCTCGATTGTTTGGTTGCGCAGGTCTTGTGATTTGGTTTAGGTCTTGTATTATAAACGTCGTAACGTCTTCATACAATATCAGATTTTAACGATCTTTATATCCACGTATTCGCTTTTTCAGTCCACTACAACTTTCGTTAAGATTACTCTGGTTCAAAGTGTAATATATTTTTACTTATGATTTTATAAAAAAAACATTCATACATGCATTTATAAAAAACCTATGTATATAAAGATTGTAAGTAAAAATATATTACTTTTTAACAGGAGTAATCTAAATGAAAGTTGTAGTAGACTAAAATACGAACGCATGGATATAAAGATCGTTAAAATCCGAGATTGTATGAATAATTTATGACGTTCATAACACATGATCTAAGCAACCAAGTAGTCGAGACCGCGACGTACATAAGCATCAAAATCCCCATACAAACGTCTCACGTAAGATGTCGTGAGAAAAATCCAAAGAAATTTTTTATAAGTACTGAATGAATACAAAAACAAAAAATAACTTATTTTGCAACAAAAAAAATATTAAGGATTAAATGTGTATAAAAATATTAAGGACTAAATGTGTACAATGTAAGAAATATATTACCATATTAAGTCATTTTTACCAACTAACTTGGAGTAGTCGGTCATAAAGACTGAATGTGAATAGTTTAACAAGTTGAAAAGGTAAATATAGACGAAAGAAACTAATGCCCAAATATATATAAATGAAAAAATATATTATCCTTTTAAGACATTATCCTTTTTATAAAATAGGCTAAATTTATTTAATTTAATAAGTATTTGAAAAAAAAACAAAAAATGCTTATTTGCTTATTTAATCCCAAAAGTTGGATTACTTTACCAATATCTATGAGGCCAAAAACCTTTCGCTTAACCTTTCTTTTCAAGCCAAAACCCTGAACAAAGAAACGATCATTCTTTTTACAAATCCCAATGGCTGAAATCGTTAGCGCCTTCATCACTTTGCTCTGTGGGAAGCTCAACTCCGCAGACTTGATGAAGCTGGCTCAATCTAAAGGAATCGATACTCAGCTAAAAAAATTGAAGAAAACCTTGCCCCTGATCCAAGCTGTGCTTGCTGAAGCAAGAAATAAGCAGATAACATACATAGCTGCTCAACGGTGGCTGTACGATCTCTATGAATTGACTTACGATATAGACGACTTACTCGATGATTTAACCACCGAAGATATGCGACGCAAGTTGAATGAAGAATCCCGTGCTAGCATCAGCAATACGGTTTTGAAGTTATTGTCAAGTTTTAGTAATTTTGGTCCCCACAGCATCATGTATGGTCGGCAGATGAGTTCTAAGCTGGATGAGATTACCAACCAGTTGGATACATTTCTGGAAAGGAAAAATGATTTGGATTTGAATGTAATTGTTGAAGTAGAGTCATATAGAAGGGAGAGACGGTTGGAGGAAATTCCAGTTGAGTCGCAAATAATTGGTCGGGAAAGGGATAAAGAGGCATTGCTGATGAAGTTGTTGGGAAGTGATGAAAATGTTGGCATAGTGTCCATAGTTGGTATGGCTGGGGTAGGCAAAACCGCTCTTGCTAAAGTTTTGTACAACGAGGAGAAACTGAAGGATCACTTTGAACTTAGAGCGTGGGTTTGTGTTACTGAGGCATACAGTATATTTCATATCGGCCAGTCCATTTGGGAAGCTGTAAGCGGGGAGGCCAAAAGATTTCCTGATCTTAATCTGCTTCATGTGTCCCTCAAAGAAAAACTTTCAAAGAAGAGGTTCCTACTTGTTCTTGATGATGTATGGAACATAGACTACCTTTTATGGAAACTTCTTGGAAGCCCGCCTCTTGTAGGTGCACCTGGAAGTAAAGTTATTGTCACAACCGGGAGAACCGGGGTTGCATCAGTGATGGGCTCTAATGAAACTTACCATTTGGAGGTTTTGTCAAATGAAGATGCTCTGTCTTTATTTGTTCAACATGCCTTGGGTGAAAAAAACTTTGACAAACATCCAACACTTCGGTTGCATGGTGAAGCTATTGTGAAGAAATGTGGTGGATTACCTCTTGCTCTAATAATGCTTGGGAGGGTCTTGAAGACTCTAAAACTAAGTTACTATCATCTCCCTCCACATTTGAAGCTGTTGTTTGCATACTGCTCCTTCTTTCCTAAGGGCTATGTGTTTGACAAGAAAACGTTAGTCCTAATGTGGATGGCAGAAGGCTTCTTGTCCCAATCAATACGCGACAAGTCAATGGAGAGTTTGGGTTATGAGTCTTTTGAAGAGCTAAAGTCAAGATCATTTTTTCAATATTCAACAAATGACGAAGTAGGGCATACAATGCATTACCTTCTAGGTGACTTGGCAACAAGTGTTGCAGGAGAGTTTTTCTTTAGATCCGATGAAGAGATGGATGTATCAAACATGAATGAAACATTTGAGAAGTTACGCCACTTTTCACTTAAAGCTCTACAAGGCGACTCATATAAAAAGCTGATCAAGGAATTACAAAGATCCAAACGTTTGCGGACTTTCTTACTAATGTCATCTGGTTGGAAAAGTAATAACTTATTGAACAATTTTCTTGTTGAATTACTTCCTGACCTACAGTTCCTAAGGGTGCTCAGCCTAAGTGGTTGGAATATCACAAAGATCCCTCAATCCATTGGTGATCTCAAGCATTTGCGGTACCTCAATGTTTCTAATACTAGAATCACATGTTTGCCTGAACAAGTAAGTGACCTTTGTAATTTACAAAGCTTGTTGGTTAGTGGTTGTTATGAGTTATCTGCCTTGCCTGAAAGTTTTGTTAACTTAATAAACCTGCGGCATCTTGACATAAGTCGTACTCCAAAGTTAAACAAGATGCCCTTAGGGATTGGTGGGTTGACGAGTCTACAAACTCTACCAAAGGTTGTTATTGAAAGAGATAACGGCTTCAAAATATCCGACCTTAAGGATCTATCGAATCTTCAAGGCCAACTTTCTATCATGGGGCTGGACAAAGTGATAAGTCCACTGCAAGCAAAGGATGCCAACTTACATGAAAAGGAGGGTCTTGATGTTTTGGATATGGAATGGAGTGATGTGTTTGATGATTATCGGAATGAGATGATTGAATATGAAGTACTTGAAGAGCTAAGGCCTCATCATAAGTTGAGAAATCTGAAGATTTTGTTCTACAAAGGAATGACATTTCCTGATTGGGTCAGTGATCCCTCATTTGACCAGTTAACTGAGCTTACATTATGTGGGTGTAGAAATGATTGTTTACCAATGCTTGGACGTCTACCTTCACTTGGTAAATTGTTTGTTAAAAGAATGAATGAGGTGGAGACAGTGGATTTTGAGTTACTTTCATCTACTAATTCTTTCCTTGGTGTTGCCTTTCCATCACTTGAAGTTTTGAAATTTGATGATATGCAAGAATGGATGGGATGGTTCATTAGTGGTGGCAATTACTATGGAACTAAAAAACCGTTTCCTCGTCTGCGTGAGTTATCTATAAAACATTGTCCGAGATTGGTACAAGTGTCAATTGGATTTATACCATCACTTCGTGTTTTACATGTAGAAGGATGTTTGGAACAAGTGTTAAGAAGCATTATTGGTGCCACTTCATCGCTTATCGCATTGAAAATGGGGAATGTTAAAGGACTTGCTGAACTACATGAAGAACATTTAATGTGTCTTGGGGCCGTTGAAGATCTATATATTGATAGATGTGATGAATTAAAATACTTAGGGGAACCAGAAACGGAGGACTATGAGTTTCTTAGCAGTTTACAGAAGTTGGAGGTACGTAACTGTGACGCATTAGAGAGTTTGATTTGTCCAAATCGTGTGGAGAGGTTGGTGATAAGTTGTTGTCGTAAAATGACATCTTTGACCTTCTCACCATTGCTTCAACTCCCTTCCTCAATCATGTTTTCCCTAAGATCTCTTGACATCCATGGCTGCAACAATCTAAAATCATTTCCTCATGAGCATTTGGAGAGTCTCAAATCTTTGGAAGAACTGTTTATATGTGATTGTCCGAGTATGGATTACTCCTTTCCTTGTGGGTTGTGGCCTCCTAATTTACGTAGCCTTGGTATAGGATACTTGAATAAGCCCATGTCAGAGTGGGGCCCACAAAAATTTCCAACCTCACTTGTTGAACTACTTCTATATGGAAAACATTCAGGAGTCGTTTCATTTGCTGTGGGAGAACATGCGAGCAATACCACTACTTCTACATCATGTTTTCTTCTTCCACCATCTTTAGCATCTCTGGGACTGAATGGTTTTATGGAATTGGAATCACTTTCAGAGGTTTTACAACACCTGCCCTGCCTTAAAAGTCTTCATATTTGGTCATGCCCGAAACTTAGAGATCTGCCCGAGACAACTTCATCTTTGACAGTAAAACTGTGGCTGTAGAAAAGGTATGTAGTTACCTTCCCTCTCAATTTGTCATTATCAGTTTATATTTTTTTGCTGAAGTTATTTTGTTTCTATAGGATCAATCTGTGTAAGTACTCCCTTTTTGGAAAGAGTCAAACTCAGTACTTTCTAGTGCAAAATTTACATGAATTTTCCTCTAAAACAAACAACAGTTTTTATGTAATTTCAGGACCTTTTATGAAGTTTGATTAGATTTTTGTTTGAAAGTTATGCAACTCCAGATGAATGTTGAAATTGGAATGCATTATTTGATCGACACTAGAATCAAATCTGCTATTTTTTTTTTACAGGTCGTATCAGATCAAGATTACCATGAGATGGGAAGATAGTGACTATGCATCTTCTATGTGAACTCCTTCAAGAGTGGTTCAGTACGATGGGTTTTGGAGATGGAGAGTTAATAAGGTAAAAAAGAAGTGTTTATTTTGTTTTTGTTCTTATAAAAAATATAATCTTTTCCGTCTTTTTTATGTTTATAGTTTTGTTATGTTGTAGAGTCATGTAAATCAAGTATTTTTACATAGTTTGTATGTCTTTTTTATGTTTATAGTTCAATTTTTTGAATAAATTGTGCCATAAAACTCCACATACATCATTGCATTTACCAGCATCTATGTTTTTCCCATTTCTTTTCTCTATCGGATAATACTTGACCATATATGTATCATTGAGTTTACCAACATCTATGCTTTTCCTATTTCTTATCTTTGTCTAATCATACATGACCAATATGTTGAATAGGTTCAGAGACGTCTCCATGTTGGAGACACATAATACGTTTGTTCTTGCAGTTTCGTTACTCCAGGTTTGTTGATGTTTTGCTTTTTGCCTCATGGTTTTGTCATAAAAAAGTAAAATAAGCAATATTTGTTGAAACACCCTCTTCAACTTTTAATTTTGAACGATTACAGGTATATATTCATCTAGGATGAGGATTTTTAGACTGGAAGATTTTGATTGCGAAAGGTGAAGATTTCAAAATCTTGTACTTTCTAATGACTGAAAAGTAAGTAATTTTGAAAGTGGAAGCACACTGCTATAATTGGGTAGATATTTCTGACCAGTGTATGGTAACATGTGTTTTATCATGGTTTATTTCAGAATTAGAACATATTCTCAAGGCAAGGCAGATGCCAGGTGGCGCTGAAGCTACTGCTGTGAAATTGAGTTGCTACTAGGATCTAGAAAAAACAGTTGGTAAATAGCATCCTTGTATGTGTCAACTACATTTTCAATAGACACAGTAGCAACATACTTACATTTGTTTCTGAATCATAGCTTCCTACTTTCTTTCTGAAATAGTGGAACTGTTTAAAACTGTAATTTCATATTCTAATTTTGAATTGTAAGATTCTACTTTCATATGTTTTCTGTTAAAGCATTGTACTTTTAAATACCACTTTGGCCCGCCTCGAAGTGCGGGATACCACCTAGTTATGATTATTAATTGTAACAATTGTAACCATACCAGTATCGGTCTTGTCATTGAAGAAAAGAAAAGCCACCTCAACCAAATATAAAGACCCACACACATCGATCTTTTTGCAAAAATGAGGTTGTTCCCATTTTTCTTTGTATAAATACTTATAATAAATAGGGCCCTTTATGGTTTATAATTTATTTGCAAATAAAGGGGTGTGGCCCCACTCAAAACACTATTAGTCTTGTTTACGAGACTCTAAATTTACATTTGAGACCCTTGAACTATCTTAATATATTATTAATTATATATATCATTGTGTTATCTTTTATTCATTTATCTTTATTATCTTATCCATAAACTTATTTCTTTATAATATATATATATATATATATATATATATATATATATATATATTATTTGTTAGGTTAAAACGTAACTAAAAGAGATAAGAGTTGAACCTTACACAAAACATGGAAATTCAATAACTAAAAGAGTTCGAAAGATATTTACAATTAGGTTGTAACCCCCAACAAATGACCATATTTTAATGCCAAAGTTTTCAGTCCAAATGGAATTTCACCCCCAATGATTTTATATTATTAAACAATGTATCAAGTTACATATCATATTCTTTTAAGTGTTTTTCTCAAGACAATGTATACTTATTAGATACGTGGGCCAATCTTTAAAGCAACACACAACACAATGGAAACATAATCATGTTATCCACGACCCAGGTTTATACAGATATCCTTATCCTGAAGAACAAAGGAATATTTGATCATATCTAAGAGTTGTTCCATAGCTACTTCATATGAGTACAACAATTGCATCGGATAGAAAACTCTCTGCTAATTATTAGTATATATCAGACCAAACAGAGTTGGATGACTTTTGCAAATGGGAGACTGTTGGAAATGGTGCCCACAGTCACAGACTCGGGTTCATATAGATATCTTGAAGAGCAAATGAATATTTAATCACTTATCTAAGGATTGTTCCATAGCTAGATCTTATGAGTGCAACAATTGCATTAGATGGAAAAAGTCTTTGCGGATTATTATTAGTAAGTATTGGACCAAACAGTGCTGGGTGACTTGTACAAATGGGAGATTGTTGGAATAGTGATCATAGTCACACCAGTTGGTAATATTAATATTAATAGCAAGGTCCTTTTTGGTTAAATGCAAATACAAATAAAAGCAACAATTTGACATGAGAGTTTGTTAATTAATTAAGTGTTTAACTAATTAATAGAAACTTGTAGACTTAATGGGTTTAAGTGTAAAGATTTGAAAGTCATTATTTAGATAATTATTTAGTGACCAAGTAATTATCTAATAAGGATTCCTAAACCTCCCTTATAAATAGAGGAGCCTATGACCAAATTTAACATGTGATTTTCACATGAGAAAAAAACCCAAAAATTGGCAGCCTCTGTCCCCTCTCAAAGAACATCTTTGTTTTCGCGTAACGGAATCTAGTTCGATGGGTCGTGTGGCTCACGAACAAAACCCTAGGGTTGGTACTTCGTAGTTATGGTGTTCGTACTGCGTTCCTTGGATGTGTGTTCCTTGGGTGTGACTATGAAAGAGGAATGCTTCGTTGAATTCTAAACATTCGTTTTACTGGAAAGAAGAAAACAAAAGACTTCTTTTCCGTTCTATTATTGTTTTATAGTTGCATAAGGTTTTATTGAACATGTGATCATGTTGGTTTCTGTGGTTTGGTTTTGTCTTTATGTTGTGCGTGCAGAAGATGACGTAGGGGATGGTGTAGGTGATGTAGGAGGTGTAGAGCTAGGTGGTGGAGTATTAGATGGAGCGGTTATGGCAGGTCCAAGATTAGGATAGAGGGTGTATAAGGATCAGAGGAAGATGTGGGTGGAGATGGTAGGTTGATTTGGTAAGGAACGAATTGTTCATGAAAACGAACACGACGAGTGATATAAAGGTTTTGGAAAGAGGGTCAAAGCACTGATAACCATGGTGTGAGATGTTATATCCAAGAAAAACGCATGAAATACATCTAAAATCCATTTTGTGCTTGTTATATGAATGGAGATGTGGATAGCATCGACAACTGAATACACGCAGAAAGGAAAAATCAGGTTTGTGTTTGAAAACATGTTTAAAAGGTGAGATATTGGAGTTGGTTCTAGAAAGCATACAATTTGTGAGATAAACAGATGTGTCAAAATCATAATGCCAAAACCTTTATGGAACACCAGATTGAGCAAGAAGAGTAAGGTCGATTTTGACCACATGATGGCGACGACGCTCGACCACACCCATCTGTCGCTTGTGTGAGGATAGGAGAGACCATGAGTAAAGCCGAGAGATGAGAAAAACTTAGAGAGGTTTCGAATTCACCTCCCCAATCAGTTTGAACAAATTTTAGTTTGGTTTGAAATTGTCGTTCTATTGTAAGAAAAGAAAGTAGTAAAGTAGTAAAGACATCAAAGCTCGAGAGATCGGATACAACATGATGAATGGAGCCAGTCCAGTGACCTAGGTAGAGGAGGCCTAGGATCGATAATCTGCAAATTAAACTAGCATATGGTTGTTGTTGTCTCACGCATATGGTTGAGGGATTACGAAGAGGGCATTGAGATAGAGCATGCCCAATATTGCACCTGTTACATGTACCATACAAAGTATTTTGATTAGATGCCCAACTAAATTGGTTTCGATTACCTGTCCTTGTGGACGATTGTTGTAGTTCCCACGCCTACGGTTGTGTGTTGATCGGTTGTTGTGATTGTTTCCTGATTAATTTGTGTAAAAAGCTTGGGATGATGTTGAATTGGTTGGTTTGAGTTATAACTCCAGCTGTTGTGCAAGCTTTTGAAAAACTTGGATTGCTTCATCTTGTGATAGAGACGAACCATTAGCCAAGAAACTAAGCAAGTATCCAAGAAACTAGGAAACTGGGCTGTCTAGTGGTGGTTATGAACGCTTGGGCCGGTGGCACCTTTGTGGAGATCTTCTTGATCATATAGTCATGGTCGACAGTAAACCATGAAGTTCAACAAAGGCTGTTGGCGACTGTCTTACTAACAGGGCAGATTTCAAAACATTGTATTCTTCTCTTAAGCCCAAGATAACCAGCATGACAATATCATTTTCTTTAACTGGTTTGCCAATATTAGCAAAGAGCATTAGAATACTCTTGTGGACCAGTTAAGCAAGCAGAGGAGGGCTCATTTCATTCATTATGATTTTCAGAAGTTGGGTTTTAAGAATTCATGAGAAGAGGTATGAGAAGCATAAGCACCTTCTAAAGAAAGCCAAAGATCACCAGATGTATTACTTTGAACATGTTGAAAAGACTGTCTTAGAGACAGTGGACATCGAACATGCGCATCCTTATAGACCCATGTATTGTAACAAGGGTTAGTTGTAGATGTGGATGTAGTCACGGTGTCGCCTTCTTTTCCTGTAGAAGTGGAAGTGGTGGACACGATGATGGTGGCCAGTGGGCAATGTATGGTGCCATCAACGTACCCAAACAGGTTGTTAGTAACTAGAAAGGGTTGTAACATAGTTTTCCAGTAGCCATAGTTGTTTGGGGACAAAGTAAAGGCAAATTTATGAGAGTTGTTGGCTGTTTTCTTGGCAGTGGTAAATGCTGTCAGAGTCGGCATTGTATTGGCTGACGTCGAAAAAAAGAGAAGGAGAATGGTAATATGTGTTGATCGATGTGGATGATTGTTTGTAATGCGCCGATTCTCAGGTATTGTTTTAAATAAGATTTCTTGGGTTAAGCTCTACTCGACGAGTTGGTTGCCCTACTCGTCGAGTAGCAGCGGGGTGGGATCGCGTGTTAAGTGACCTACTCGACGAGTCCATATTGGGACTCAGCGAGTAGGAGCTGGTAGATGAAACCCTAAATCCCGGGGTTTGCACCCATATTTAAAGGAACCTTATCCTCCCTTGGGCCTCTTTACAGTTCTAGAGAGTCATTGAGAGCCCTTATACGTGTGTGTGTGCCATTGTGTGTGTTTGAAGCTTGAAAAGAGAATCTTTGGAGGGAGAAGGCTTGGAGGAAAAGGAGATTGGAGCAAGTAGAGTGTGATAATCAACACTTATCTCAGTTATCATCTTCTAGAGGTACCCAAATCGTCGTTCTCCTTGTAGATCTCTTATATTGGTTGAGTTTTAGGGTTTTTATGGAATATTAAGTTGATAAGATGAGCTATGGGCTAGATCTGAAGTTGTAACTTCAGATCTGGACCCTCCTTGGATTCTAGAAGCATAAAGTTACAGTTTTGGTCATGATTGAGGTCCCTCTTGAGCATGAAGCTCCATTAAGAACTTAAAATAGGCATTTAGAGCCTTTATATCCATGCATGCACGTAAAGTTTGCAACTTTACGTGATAAGCATGCCCTAGAAGCTTGGATCTGTGATTTGGAGCCGCTGCATGGCTCAAAATAGGTCTGTATGGAAAAAGGACTGAATAGACTCGGCGAGTCGCAAGGTTGACTCAGCGAGTCACATGCAGATGGCCGTGAACTCGACGAGTTGGATGAACAACTCGGCGAGTCCAATGAAGATTGCCATAGACTCGACGAGTTGAAGAACAACTCGGCGAGTCGGATGAGTTTTCTCCGGGATGTGTATGCGTGTGTATCCATCGAGTTGCATGGAGGAAACTCGACGGGTGGCCTTAAGGTTTGATTGAGAATCGAAGGAACTCGACGAGTCACCCCAATGACTCGGAGAGTTGGAATGTGCTTCAAGGAACTCGACGAGTAGCCGAGGGTACTCGGCGAGTGAGGTCAACATGGACTGTTGACCTTGACTGAGGAATTTGACTTTGACCAGGGGTTGACTAGTGGGTTATGGAGTACCTTATGAGGTTAAGGACTTATGAGTATATTGTACTAAGATAATAGGTGGTGGATACTATGTCAAGTGATCCGAGAGTTAGAGTTTACCTTCCGAGTTGACATCTGCGGGGTGAGTTATCCTCACTATATCGATAAGGTCTACGGCACCAAGGCCGGCCCTTTAGTTGTTATTGTTATGGTATGCTACTTGTGGTTATGATCTGTTAGATCGGAATCAGGGTAGACAGTATGTTATGCTCTTATGATCCGTAGGGATTGGTATGTTAGTGACCTGCTAGGTCGGTGCTCTAGTTACGAGAGAATTCTATGATTGATGATCAGTGATATAGATATGTTTGATGTCTGTATATGCCAGTATATGATAGTTATGCGCACATGGTTATTTGCTTGATTGGTTGGGTTGAGGCGGTCCTGCTTTGTATATTGAAGGCCAACATACCCTATGAGCGGTCCGGGGAGACTGTAGGCCCACGTGGCGGACCAGTCATGCCGAAGGCTCGGGATAGATCCAGATAGACTGTAGGCCCTGTAGGGCGGTCCAGTCAGGCCGATGGACCAGTATGCATGTTGATTGATTGATTATTACTGATATGGTATTGTCAGTGTGGTATTGGTATTTTGGGGGTAGCTCACTAAGCCCTCGGGCTTACAGTTTTCAGTTTATTGTTTTAGGTACTTCAGGAGATCATGGCAAGGCGAAGGCGTGACCGTACCGCTCTTCATCCTTATGATATGATTTTGGGACACTCTGATGGATAATGATTTGAAAACATTTTTGTAAACAATGCTATTTGATTTTTATTTATGATTGAAAAAGTTTAAATTTGACGTAAAATTTATGGATGTTACAAGTTGGTATCAGAGCCTTGGTTTGAGTGAATTGGAGGAACACTCGTGTGAATCCAGTCTCAAATCAAGAAGGTTTTCGGAAAGTAAGTTTTTAAAATGGTTTTCAAAATAAAGGATGGAGGGTGCAGAGGGTACGATCAGTCGGAGCCTGTAAGTTAACCCCAAAATACCATACAGTTATTTGATATTCTGATATGTTAGAACATCATGCTAGTGCTAGGCTAGGGATCTTACGGAATCGCATGATAGATTTGCCTGATTATGTAAATGCCTATTAGCCTAGGGTTTCTGGTATATGGAATTGACATCATAACTGTAGATGTTTAGTGTATGCATCACGGATGTGTATAGTCAAGATCTTACAGCCTGAGAATGTCTGATTCGACCTTAGTGTAGGATTGGATATTCGAAAGTCTATCGGGTCCAGCATTATGTGCAGCTAGCATACACTAGCGCTGCAGGGGCTGATGGAAGTTTCATGGATGTGTGAGTTGTATGGAGCTGTGGGATCAGTTGTAAGATAGGCGATGTCCCCTATTAGTGAGGGTTGAGTGCATATTATGTTGAGTATAGTATTAGGGCGTTGTGGTGATACTTGAGACAAATATGGGTAGGTGTGGAAGGTAGTATGGGCCCGTACTACTGGAAGCACAGGACCCATACGCGTAGCAAGGAAGTCACAACCCCTAGGGTTTGAGGGTATTGGTCTCCCGACATTATATTGTTTATCTGACATATTGAGTGTAATTGCAGTATGGTTGTGACGAGACGTTTTGCTGATGGATCCGGTTCGGGATCCGGGTCAGGGTCGGGGACGGGAGACGGAAGGTCGGAGGTGCCGATTGCACCTGAGCCCGTGGTACAGATAGGGACAGAGGAACTGGATGCCAGGATCCGGGAGATTCTGCACGATGAGGTCACTGCGGCTTTCCGAGCGCAACTACCAGAGATGTTTGGGTCGATCAAGACCGTGATGGTTGAGTATTTTGATGAGCGATATGCAGCTCTGGCAGAGACAGCAGCCGCTGCAGCCACTTTAGCTGTAACTGCGGCAGGGGTTGGAGGAGGAGTCGACAGGGCTTTCCAGTACCGGGACTTCGATAATACGAAGCCCCCGACATTTGATGGTACACATGATGCGATTAGGGTT